TGGGCCCACTGGCGGCCGCTTTTCTGCGCGTGTGAGGCGCGTCTCCTGGGCCCACTGGTGGCCGTCTTTCCTGCGCGCGTGAGGCGTGTCTCACGGGCCCACTGGCGGCCGCGTTCGGGCGCGCGCGTGGCGCGTCTCCTGCGCGCGATGCTAGTCTCGATTGTTTGATCTGGTGTGGGGCGCGTCTCCCAGGCCCGCTGATGCCCGCGCGCGCGCTCGTGAGGCGCGTCTCTTAGGCCCGCTGGTGGCCGCGTTCGTGCGCGTGTGAGGCGCGTCTCCTGGGCCCACTGGTGGCCTGTGTTTTTTGTTTTTTTTTGCGCGCGTGGGGCGCGTCTCCCGGGCCCACTGGCGGCCACTCTTGAGCGCGCGTGAAACGCGTCTCTTCGGCCCGCTGGCGGCCGCATTTGGGCGCGCGTGAAGCGCGTCTCCCAGGCCCACTGGCGGCCGCAAAAGTGCATGGTGAGGTGTGCCTCCTGGGCTCTCTGGTCTCCGCGGATACGCGCGCGTGGCGTGGCTCTGGAGCCTGCGGGGGCGGCTGGGATCTCGCGCGCGGATCGCGCGACGCCTTGGCCCCCTGGCGGCCGCGTCGGGCCCCCGCGCGCGGCGCGGCGGCGGCCGGGCATTCGCGGCGCGGCGCAAAGGACAGCTGTTCCGCTCGCGGGCTCGGGGTTCGCAGCTGCGCGATTACCATGGCGAAGGCCTTGCTCGGATGGCCCAGGCCGAGTCAGAGGCCCCGCGGGGAGAAGAGTTTTACGATAACCTGGCCGAGGCGCTGAAGCAAGATGACGTCGCTCACTGGGCCCGCCTGCTCGAGGCGGAGCTGGGCTCGCTGATTGGCCTCGACTCGGCTGGGAAGCCGACGCGCGGGGGCCGCCGGCCGGCCGACGCGGTCTGGCAGGCGGGGCGCGTCAAAGCATTGGCCCGCGCGGCGCGCGAGCAGAAAGGCTTAGGCCAAGGGCGGATCGCGCCAGTGGCGGGGGATCCCCCCCGCCTCGAAGAAGCGCTGCGTTCCGCGCGCAAGCCGACCGCCAAGCACGCGGCGATTGTGCCCGCCATCCATCGGGCGGGGGCGGCGGCGCGGTCGCCGTCCGCGCTCGCTTCGCCGGGCGTCGAGAGGCCAGGCGCCCCTCCGCGACCCGCCGCTGCCCTTCTGGCCACCATCTGCCGCGGTCGACGCCCTGGGGGCTCAGGCGGCAAAGCAGAAGCGCAAGGGCGTGGCCCGCCCGCGCGTTTCGCCGGACCTCAAGGCGAGATCGCTCCGCGCGCGTCCGCGCGGCTCACTCTATTGGCGCGCGTCGTAGGCTTTCCTGCCCTCCCGGGCTTCGGGCAAAGCGCCAGGGGCGGAGGCGGGCCCCTCGGAGGCAGGGGCCCAGAAAGGGCTGCTGCCGTTCAATCAGTGGCGCGCAGCCTTCAATGAGCACGCGGCTGCGGCAGCGATCTTGGACGATCAGCCGAGCTTTGTCTTTGCAGTGTCATAAGCCATAAGCAGCACGTGTTGCAGGCGCGCATTGCCCGAAACGCGCGGCGGCGCGGCCCTGAGGGCGCGCGGCGCAGGTGGCCGCGCGTGCGAGTTCGCGTAACGAGCGACCGGCCTTGGCGTTGCACTTCGACGCGGTGGCGCGCCGCTCGTGGGCAGATAGATCCGGGGTGGGCGACCCGAACTTCGAGGCTCGCGCGACGCGCGCGCGTCTTTGCGCTCGCCCCGTGTTTACTCTGCTTGAAGGGGGACAGACTTAGGACAAGGGCTTGCTGCGAGCGGCCGCGGCCGCGTTCGAGGCGGCGGAGTGCAAGCCAGCGAAGGCAGTGACGCCCCGCCAGGAGCCCCCGGTGGGGCACGACCGCGGCGGTAAGGGAGGCCAGGCGTGCGACCGCCGGAGCGACTGGCACCCGTCCACGCGGTCTGCCGCGAGCGGTCACCGCGGCGGCTGGGGCAGCCGCGGCGGCTGGAACGCCGGCAACCAGAGCGGGGCAAAGAGCGAGTGGTCCAGCAAAGGGGACCGCAAGGGCAAGCGCGGCAACCTGGCGGCCCCGAGGACGCCCGAGAAGCGTCGCAAGCGCTTGCGAAGCGAGTTCGGAGCCGCGGGAGCGCGCCGGCCGACCGCGATCACGCCGCACGCCAAGCACAGGGCTTGCGCATGTCTCGGTGGAGGCGCCAGCTGCCCGGCGAGTGAGCGTCGCCGCGCGCGACGTGAGTACCGGGGGGCGATGCGAGCCTCCAGTCCGAGTTGACAGCGTGCAAAGGGAGGCGCAAGCAAATGTTGCGCCATTGCTGCATGATGCGTCCCTGGCCAGTGCAACCGTGGATGTGTCGAAACTGGAATCTGCGCTGCCTTCAGAGTGTATATACCCGTAGAGTCTCTGGCTGGGCCCTCTGGAGCGTGCGCGCTGGCGCTCCAGCGGCGCACGGTGCATTGGGTCTGCGCCTGCGCGCACGTGGCGCACGTGGCTGGGCCACCCGCCGGCCTGGGTGCCCAGCGTTCCGTGACAGTGGGTGTTCGCACTGGGCGCTCGGCTAGGCCGGCAACGCAGGCGAAGGCACGAGCCACTGTCGGCTCGGGGCACCGCTGCGCGCGGCCAGGGTCGAGCGCCGCACCCATCGTCGCGGTGCGACGCGCCGAGCCGTTTGGCGTCCGAGCCAAGGTTTTGTGGCGGGCGATCATCGTGCAACGTTGATCGCGGTCACGAAATAGCGGGGCGGGCGCCCCCGCCCCAGCCCCCATGCTTAGGCGAAAGGGAGGGGGCGCCGCGCGACGCGCAGCGGCGCGGGGCGACGCGAGCCCAAGCGATGGGCGCGAAGCGTCGTGCAGTCCGCCCTGCTTGCATGGGCGAGCGCGCGAGGGGGCGCGTGCGCCGCCCAGGGTTGGGAGGGGCGTGGCGCCGCGCGCGCACGGCTGGGGGGGGGTGCCACCGCGTTCGGCGAGGGGCACCTGCGGTGCGGTTTTTGCCCGCCCACCGCCCCCTTGGCGGCAATTCGGCTTGGGGTGTTCGCACTGGGCGCTCGGCTAGGCCGGCGACGCAGGAGAGTGCCCGAGTCACCGTCGGCTCGGGGCACCGCTGCGTTCAGCCTTTAACGATCGGCAGCGTCTCGATCGCCAAGTCGTTCCAGGTTCACAGATTCTGGACCACTGGCGGCGTTCAACATTGAAGGCCCGCGCTGGGGTCGTAGCCTCGTCGATGCGGCACGAACCTACCATACGTAGAACAAGATGAGGAAGGTCGTAAGAAGTGGGATGGCAGGAAAAAGGAAAACATACCCGCGAGAGGGCATGAGCCCTCGACTTCGGCCCTGTGCGGAGGGACGCGGGCGGGGAACTCAAGGGTTTGGGGCCCCTCGAGGCTCCCCAAACTGACAACACATCGACGAACTCTCCCGACACACCAGCCGCAGCATTTCGATTTGAATCGCCCGGGGCTCCGGTCGGCGCAGTCCGAAACTTCGGATGCCCGCGAACGGCCTCTCCGTACAGCGCCGACCCAGGCTCCGTCGCACCCCACATCGCTCCCATCAGGAGCGGCGCACATATCACATATCCGTACCCGCGCCCTCGCGGTCTGCATTCCGGGTTGCGATCCCGCAGATACGCGGTCGCACGGATACGTTCCGCGCGGGGCATCCGCCACCAAGCGCCCCCGCATCTGCGGGGTCGCGGCCCAGGGAACTGGCCCGCGAGGCCGCGGATCCAGATAGGTATGTTTTTCGCCCCCCGGATCCCAAGGCTCGCCCCGCGAGCGCCCGGAGCGGCGCCGAAGGCGAAGCGAGGCCCTGGCCCCAGCGACGGCGGAGGGGCCGTCCGATGTCCCCTGTGCGCCTCTCTTCTGCCTCCGGCGACCGCTGCCCGGGGCGGCGGGGGCCCTCTGGGGAAGCCTTCGGGGCACCTCGGTCTGGGCCGACGGCAGCTACACACCCACACCGACTCGGGCCAGGCCGGCGCTGGTGTCCCGGATCGTTGCGGGGATCCACTGACCTGGGCCACTGCAAATCCTTGAGCATGGACCGACCGTCCCGTCATTCCTATAGGCCTACCACGGAATGCTCTTAGAACCGGAAGTCTTCTATGAACCAGAAATGTCCTTAGAACATGAAGCCCGATGCATTAAAACAAGACAGTCTGAGCCAGACATGTTCTAAGAACACTTCGTGCAAACCACACAAGGTTCTTAGAACACTCTTCAGTGGACCTGTGGGCGAGCCAAGGCGCTTCGTCACTGCTCGAGATCCAAGTCATTTCAGGCTTGGCAAGATTCTCCAAGATCCTGCAGGATTCTGCAGGGTCCTGTGCGCTAGCCCGGGTCAATGCACCCCTGGCACTGCAGGACCCAGCAAAATTCGGCGCTCTGGCTGGCCCCCGCTTGGATTGACCCCGTCTCATGGCGCCCGACCGGTGCACACGCCTTCCCGGCCAAGCCAGGACGCCGTGTGCACCGATCGCGGGTCAAGATTAAAGGCCTCCTAGATTCCTATGTGGTGTCCGAGTAGGCGGGGTCCGAGGATCGCGCCGCATCACCGATGCAACGGCGATACTTCGGCGATGCATCAGCGACATCCGCGGTGCATCGGCGTCGTCGGCGTGGAACAAGTCGGTCTCCACATCGAGCCACATCGGCGATGCAGTAGCGATGCGGCGCGATCCTCCGACCCCGCCTACTCGGACCCCATCCGGGAGGCCCAGAAAGATGGGCGTGACCCGAATCGGTGGCGGTGCGCAGGTGGCGTTGCCCGAATCGGCGGTCGCCTCGAGATTGGTCGCGGCGCGGCGCAGGCGGCGGCACAGGCAAAGACCAGACTGAAGAGGCCCAGGGACACACAAATCAACACACACACAAATCCCGAGATCCCCCATGTTTTCTCATATTCTCTGGTTTCTCGTTTTCCCTCCCAGCTCCCATGGTTTCCCATATTCTCCTGGGGATCGACGATCCACCGTGCCTGCGTTTGTTCCCCTCCCGACTGGGCCCTCTCCCCTGGGGGGTGGGGGGGGGCAACGGCCGGCGGGCGGGGCCTGTTCCGCCGCTCCTGGGCACGCCGCATCCGCTCCTGGGTGCGGGGCCGCTGGGAGAAGGAGCGAGTGAGCGCGGCAGGGCGGCGTACGCAGAGGCCTCCCAGATGGGGTCCGAGCAGGCGGGGTCGAAGGATCGCGCCGCATCGCCCATGCATCGCCGATGTATCGGCGATGCATCGGCGACGTCGGCGATGCATCGGCGACGTCAGCGTGGCGACCCACGGGCTCCACATCGAGCCGCATCGTCGATGCATCGGTGATGCGGCGCGATCCTCCGACCCCATCTGCTCGGGCCTCATCTGGGAGGCCTGGAGTAGGGCCGACGCGCGGCGGGCAGCACACGCCACCGTAGAGACAAGAGCATCTTGGCTCAAGAAAGTGGGCTGCCTGCCTGCGGTGTTCTTAAGCAGCATTGGCGGCGAGCGGGGGAAATGAAACGGAGAATGCCTTATCGGAAGGCGGCGGGAGCTCTCAGAAGCCATCGCGCCTTCTGAGAAGTTTTCTGTGCCTTCGGGGAAGGCTTAAAACACTTATCAGAAGACTGGGGGACTCCCAAGCCTTCTGAAAAAGCCCGCCCCTTCTCACTTCCCCACCGGGTCCGCCGCCGAAAGAAAGTGGGCTGCCTACCTGCGATGTTCTGAAACAGTAGTCCAGGTCCAGATTCCCAGCACAGGAGAGAAGTATTGCCTATTGCAGCGCAGACGGGAGGCAGCAGTGCAAGTCAGTGCATATAGTAAGCGTGCAGTGTGCGGATGCGAAGCACCTGGAGCGCGCCATGACGGCATCCACAGAAGCTGACAACAGCCTCAAAACAGCTTCTGGCTGTCACGGTGTAGGCCTACCAGTGCGAACTTGCGCAACTTCCTGAGTGTTTGGTTGCTGTCCTTCGTGTCGCGCCTCCGCCTCTTCACTCCCGCCTCCTTCGTCCTTCTTCCTTTCAAGTCCAGACGACTCGCACTCGAATTCACACTTCACTCACACTCAAATTCAGAACCCTGGGTTCGCAGTCACTCACACTCAGGCACTCTCGCACTCGGACTCGCTCACACTCATACCCTCACACTCGGACTCACTCACACTCATGTTAACTTATACTTTACACTCAAGCCCGCTTCACACTCAGACTCACTTATACTCACATCCCCTCACACTCAAACTCACTTCTGCCCATCTCCCCTCACACTCAGACTCACGCACCGCGAGGTGGTAGGCATGGCATTCGGATCGCCCAAGAGGGTGCCAAACAAAGTGGTTCACGGCCCACTGGCCGAGATTGCTGGAATATCTCCAGCGGAACGCCAATGTCGGAAAGTAAACGCGTGTCGTCGATGCAGCAGGCGTGGGGTGGTGTGGCCCAGCAAGAGGGTGACCAACGGAGGTGTTTCACATACCCATTCGCGCACGCTCACAACCTTGCGATGACTCAAGCGGGACGCTCGTTTCGGAAGATGGAAGCACGTCTTCTGAAGGCCAAAAAAGGTTACCGCGATGCAGCAGGCATGGCATGCGGCTCCCCAGTGGGTGTAGACGAGGGATGTTTCACGGGCCCGTTCGCGTTCAGACTGTGGGGATCTATCCAGCGAGACGCCCGCCCAGTTTGCAAAGCAGACGCGTGTCTCCACGGGCCTCCCCCCATGGCCACCACGATGCAGCAGGCATAGCACTTGGACCACCCAAGAAGGGTGTGTCGACCAGGGGGTGCTTCACGGGCCCGTTCTCTCGCAGAGCGTGGGGGTGTCTCCAGCAGAACGCCCGTTTGGAATACTTTTTTTCGCCCGCGGCGAGGAAGTGGCAGTCCGCACAAGCGTGAGGCGAATCGGGGTAACCGAAAGGAGAATTGTCTGGCGTGCCCCGTTTATAATACATGCGCATGCCGTCTCTGGGCCCAATGGTCATCGCGATGCTGCAGGCACGCTATCCCGAGCACCCAAGGACGTGTCGGCAAGGCGCGGTGTTCACGGGCCCGTTCGCGTGCAAATTGTAAGGACGTCCAAAGCGGAGCACCCGTTTGGGAAAGGAGGCGCGGGTCATCTCTGAGCCCCATGGTCACCGCGATTGTGTGCATGTTGTGAAAACATCTCAAGCGCAACACCCGTTTCGGAAAACACGCGCCCAATGGTCACCGCGATGTAGCAATAATGGCACAAGGGCCCTTTCGCGCCCAAATTGTGGGAGGCCTGAAGTGAAACGCCCGTTTTGGAAAGTAGATGCGCATCTTTTCAGGGCCCCGTGGCCACCCGTGTAGCAGGCACGTCATGTGGACCGCAGAGGTGGGTGTCGAATAGGCGTGCCTCACGGGCCCGTTCGCGTGCAGATTGTGGGGATGCCCGAAGCGAAACACTGGTTCTGGAAATTCGACGCGTGTCTTCACTGGGCCCCATGGTCACCGCGATGAAGAAACCGCGCAGGATTTGGACCACCCAATGGGCAGACTCCGGGGGGCCATGACACGTGTGGTATACGTCCTTCCGTGCATGCGGCGTGGCCACGACTGCTCACTCCTCCTCGCTCGCTCTCTAGCGTGAGGAGACTGAGCCCGTGCCATGCGGCAAAATATACTGTCGACCCGTATCACCATAAGGATGCGCGATACGGGTGCAACGGCCCTGGACGCTCATTTCGCAGCTTTCCGAGAGGGGCGCGGCCAAGGAACGCCGCCAAGGATTGACCGAGGAGGCGAGGATGCAAGGGTGCCCTTCGGAAGGTTGCCCATCCTTACTATGCGGGTCGACCGTAAACACACTGGCGCACTGAATTTGCGAGAGACAGACCGTCAGGTGATCGGCTCTGGAACACCCATGCCACCCTCCGAAGGCACCCCCGCACCTCCCGAGGGCAAGGCGGATCCTCCCGACGAAGGGGGCCGAGGCGGACGTCGCGCAATCCTTCTCATTCTCCCCCCTCCTCCGCTCCTCCGGGAACTGCTGTGGCACGAGGCGGCGTCGTGGCCGAGCCTGCTGTACCAATTGCGCATGAGCACGTCGGGCCGAAGTTTCCAGAGGCATGTAAGACGAGTCACGGCGGGCGTCAGACATGTAGAATGTGACGGGGCCGCCCGCCGACCAGCGAGGTCGTGCATGTCATCAGAAATCGACCGAACAACCCCATCCTCCTCCTCCTCAGCCACTTCCTCATCCTCCTCACCCTCCTCCTCCTCCTACTCCTCCTCCTCCTCCTCTTCTGGTACATCCCCCTGCTTATAGATAAGAAAATCTTAATATTGGGCATGTGACTTCGCTCGAAACGATGTCTTAGCCAGAAGTCCAGGTCCAGATGGATGTAAAAGCTACGGAAAAGGGGAAATCCAAGAACACGCCCGGAATCCAGTCCAGATTCTTCACGTCAGTGAGCAAAGCCTGGAGTCCATGAGACCTGATGCTTTGTCGTTTGCAGCTTCTGCTGGGTGTGACCGCCGCGGCACGAGGCGGCGCCGCGGCCCTCCTCCTTCGGCAGCAGCACGGTGTCCGCCTCCGCGTGGCAGAGGCGCAGCGCCGCCCCCGCCCACTCCTCGCGGGTCCCCCGGGAGGGCGGGGAGCGCCGCCGAATCAGCACGCGGGTTCTGCCTCGGCGGCCCGCGGGGCGGCCTTCGCCTTGTGTCTCTCTCTCTCTCTCTCTCTGTCTCTCTCTCCCTCTCTCTCTCTATATCTCTCTCTCTCTCTCTCTCTCTGTCCACGAAAACTGCTACTACGCTCAATAAAACATATTCCGATCAAAACATTCCCTGGAAACCACCCCCAAACAACCCGGACAACCATATGCTTATTAATGACGACAAGACGACCTACCTGGGACAATCCCTTGCACAACCCAGCGGGGCTTCAGACAACCCCTGCAGACATCCCCCCTTGGACAAACCTCCCCAGAAATTGTCTTCCCCAAGATCTAGCACATACCTTTGCTTCGACCGGCAAGGCCCGTGTCCCGCCGTGTGCCCGTGAACTGCGCGAGTTGGACACGTCGCCTTCGGGGGGCAACGGGCTTCTCGATCTGCTATTCCTCGATAGTGCGGTTGGCCTCCAGATTGCGTGTTGGGGCGTATTTGTTTCGGAGGGCACCACGGCAGACGGTCGGCCTTCGAGCAAAGCCTGCTCCTCCATCTCCTTCTCCATCCTCCCTCCTCCCTCCCCCCTTCTCCTTCTCCTCCTCCTCCTCCTCCTCCTCGTTCTCCTCCCTCCTCCATCCCCCCGTCTCCTCCTCCTCCTCCTCCTCTCTCTCCTCCTCCTCCTCCTCCTCCTCCTCCTCATCTTCCTCCTCTTCCCCCCCTCCTCCTCCTGTTCCTCTCCTCCTCTCCTCCTCCTTCTCCTCCCCCTTTTCCTCTTCCTTCTCCTCCTTCCCCCCCCCTCCTCCTCTTCTCTCCTCCTCCCTCCTCCTCATCATCATCATCTCTCCTCCTCCCTCCTCCTCCTCCTCCTCCTCCCCTCCTCCTCCTCCTCCTCCCTCCTCCTCCTCCTCTCCTCCTCCTCCTCCCGTTTCTTCTCCTCCTCATCCCCCTCCTCCTCCTCCTCCTCCTCCTCCTCTATCTTTTCGCTTCTCTTATCTTGTCTATTTAGTTCTCTCTCTTCTCTTCTTTCTCTCTCTTCTCTTCTCTTCTCTTCTCTTCTATTCTCTTTCTTATCTTCTCCTCTCCTTTATCTTCTCTTCTTATTCTCCTCTCTTCTTTCTCTTTTCTCTTTCTCTCTTTCTCTTCTCTTTCTCTTCTTCTCTTCTCTCTCTCTTCTCTCTCTTCTCTTCCCTCCCTCCTGCTCCTCCTCCTCCTCTTCCCTCCCTCCTTTTCTTCCCTTATCCTCCTCCTGCTCCTCTCGTCCCCCCCCCTCCTGCTCCTCCTCGCCCCCTCCCCTCCTCCCCTCCTCCTCCTCCCCTCCTCCTCCTCCTCCTCCTCCCTCCTCCTCCTCCCCTCCTCCCTCCTCCTCCTCCTCCTCTCCTCCTCCTCCTCCTCCTCCTCCTATTCATTGCGGGCTTCTGAGAAGGCCTCTTGGAAGGCCGGAGGGCTTCCAAGAGGCCCCGCTGCCCCCTCAGATGCCCCCCCCGTCGAACAAATTCCGACGACTTCGTCGTCGTCGTCGTCGTCGTCGTCGTCGTCGTCGTCGTCGTCGTCGTCGTCGTCGTCGTCGTCGTCGTCTGCGCGCCGCCGATGTTTTGCAAGGCTCGGGATTGCTCACGGTGAGCCTCCCCAAGGCCCCAGAAACACTAGTCAGGGGCGGCCTCTTATCGGCGGCGGCGTCAGAGCGGTCCGCGCCCTGCGCTGGTTGATTACCCTGGGGGCCCGTTGAGGCCAGCCTGGACTACACCCTGCGCAGCCCCAAGCCCTCCCAGATATCTTCGAGATGTTCATACGTTCTTCATGCGCTCTTCAAAATATTTGTGCTTCGTATCCAGCAGCCGCGCCTCGTCGAGGCTCCTCCAGGGATGCAGGTCTCGTCCCGAGCGGCCGCTCGAGGCCCAACATGGGGCCCGAGAGCGCGGTCTGCGTGACACGAGGCCCGAAACAAGGACTCGATCAACAACATGAGCCCCCAAATCTCTCTCGACTCCACTGCGGGGACCAGTCTTTTCCGCCGCGTGTCATTCTGGCCTGCCCCAGGGCTCTTGCGAAGGCCGAAGTCACATGGGAGCGCCAGCATTTGGCAGGATCGTATCTTGGGCGCGATTTAAGGGGGTGGCAATAAATGGGAGGGGGAAAAAAGGTGCCCTTTTCGGGCCCTTTCAAGGCCCCCTTCTGGGCCCGTAAGGGCCCCCTTGGAGATCCTAAATGTAAAGGGCCCCTTTTCGGCAGCCCTCGCTGCCCCCACCCCGCATTTATCGTCCCGCCATTACGCGTCCTCCGAGTATCGTCGGAGGCCTGGGCATCCGTGCGCAGTCGGACAGAGGCTGGGGGATTTGGGGGGCGATCGCACGGTCGCCCCGGGCCAGGCGGGAAGGGCAGGGGAGGCCGAATGGGTGGAGGAAGAAGGACAAGACGGGAAATGGGGAGGACGAGGAAGGGGGGGAGGAGGAAGGAGGAGGGGGAGGATGAGGAGGGGGGGGGGGATCAAAGGCATGATGAAGAAGACGGAGGCGGAGGAGGAGGCGGAGGAGGAGGAGGAGGAGGCGGAGGGAGGAGGAGGGCGGCGGGGGGGGAGGAGGACACATAGCACGAGGGCGTGGGAGCGGAGGTGCAGTGGCAAGTGGAGTCGGAGGAGGAAAGGGAGAGGAGAAGGAGGAGGACATGTGCACCGAACATATATGCATACATATCACCACAACTATACAGATGTACATACACCTGTTAGACGCACACCTGTATCGCTACATACATACACACATACATGCATACATACACACGTACATACATACATACATACACGTATTCATTCATTCATACATACGTACATACTATGTGTGAATGCATGCATGCATGCATACATACATACACGTGTACACGCATACATACAAATATCCATGCATGCATACATACATACATACATTACATACACACGTACATACATACATACACACGCATGCATGTATACATACATGCATACATGCACACCTACATACATGCATGCACACATACATACAAACACACACCCACACCTTCATACATACATACGTACATAAACACATGCTTACATACACACGTACACACAACACACATACACATACACACATACATACACACATGCAGACATACATACATGCATGCACACATGCGTACATACATGCATACATGCACCCAAACATACATGCATACAAACATACAAACATACATTCACACGGGCATAAACACATACATACACACATTCATATAATTATGTTCATATATAAATACCATTGTATTACGCGGCCTTACAGTACAATCACTGACATGTCATCACATCGCATTACCCTACATTACCTTACATCGCATTCCACCACATGCTGGTATATTACAATCCACTCCACTATATTACATTACAGTACATTACATCACATATCATTGCATTACATCACTACACTACATGCAAACACATACACATACACACAGACAAACAAGCATCCATACATACATACATATACAAATACATGTACCCATCCATCCATACACATACATACATATGGATGCCCCCCGCCCCAACACCCCCAAACTGATCGTGTTATCCTCATGCTTCTCCGTTTCCTCCTCGTTATCCCGTCCTCCTCCTTCTCAGAAACTGAAAACGACTCTCTTAGGCTCGTTTGAGGAGGGATCACGTCTCTGAACGTAGGGGCCTGAAAACGCTGTGTTTTCCATGTTGTTCTGGTTTTTCTGGTTTTTCTGATTTCTGGTAGAGACTACGCAAGTTGGCGAGTCTCCCCCAGGAATCAAAAAAAAAAAAAAAAAAACATAAAAAACGGACGAAACACCCAACCATACGTAGTTGTGAATACCGCTTTTGTGGATATATTCCTCGGTGGCGCTCCCTATGGGGCCACGAACCGCATGAAGGGCGTGCCGAAATGTGCGGCGGGGTACACAACGCGAAGGAAAATTATATTTCTGATTACGAGAAACTGAACGCGGATGAGTATGAGCGCGAGTGCGTCTGTTTGTGAATGGGATTGCGCGCGAGCGAATCTATGTTCATGAATGGGATCATGACCAAGCTCAGTGTAAGTTGATATGAATGTGAACGGTTTGGATATAACTGGTTCTGAATACTTGTGAAATTGTCTGTGGCCGCCGCGAGGAGCCCCCCCCAAAAAAATGCCAATGGCAGCGCCCGCGCGCCGCGACGCCCGTGTCGGCGCGCCCCTCACGAGGATAGCGCCCGCTTTTCTTTTTTTCCTTTCTCTTTGCCCGCGCACTCCAAAGTCCTAGGCCGCGAGCGCAGCGCAGCGCGGGGTCCCCGCGACGCGCGCAGGTCGCCGCGGAGGGGCCCCAGCGACGCGCGCGGGTCGTCCGCTGCGCGGAGCACAGAGCTAGCCGGCTGGCTGATTGCGGGCAAGGCTCCGGCCGCTGGGCAGAGCGACGACGGGCGAGCGAGGCGCTGGGCAGAGCGCCGCACGGAATCCCCGCGACGCGCGCCGGTCGCCCCGGAAGGGCCCCAGCGACGCGCGCGGGTCGTCCGCGGCGCGAAGCCAGACAAGTAGCTAGACAGTCGAGAGAAGGCGCGGCTCGGGGGGGGCGCTCCTCAGGTCAGGCCTCGCGGATAAAATCGGTGAAGTCGAGCTCCCTGGCGAGGGCCGTCGCCTCCCTCCTGCACCGCTTCGTGCGCGCCGCAAACTGCTCCAGCTGATTCCGCAAGCCCTCCGGCGGCCCTGCCAGGATGAACTCGATGCGCGGCGCCCGCTTAAGCAGGAGGTCCTCGCGGCGCGTGGCGCGCGAGAGCAGCGCGTAGAGCTCCAGCCACCAGTCGTCGTCCTCCTTCTTGCCGTTCCCGACCTCGTGGCGGCCGCAGTCCAGGATCACGCCTGGGCGACGTCGGCCGAGGGGGCAGCGCGCCGGGCAGCCGACGGCCCAGGGCGAGAGTCCGCAGGACCGAGGTCTGGCCGCGGACTGCTCGCGCCCC